CTGTCCCGTCGTTTTCGCATTCCGCAAGAAATCCTGACTCTCCTGGAACTCATTTAATCTCCTGGAACTAACTGAATTAATCATTATCTTTACTACCAGTACCCTTGCCTGACGCTCGTATCTAAATCTTACCTTTGACCGTATCTTACCCTTGTTGATTTTAGTTAGATTTGAGGTATCTAGATTTGAGGTATCTCGCATAGCAAATGAAGCGGTATGCAGTACAATGCAAAACAAGTCACAGTAGATGTTGGAAGTTGTATTTAAACTTGCTTCCTATAGAATCAACAGCTGCTGTTCCTTGGTTTCCCTGGTCTTTTTTTGCCTTCTTCGAGCTGTAGCCTGTTTCGTGATTGGTGATAAACTGTAAAACCTCTTTATACCCAATACCGGGTTTCTCGCGGTATAAAGTGTTTCATATACTGCATAAAATGATAGTACAGCAGGTTATCGGTTCGATCTTGACTGTGCCATTGGTGCAGTTTTTGTAAAAAATCTATCAGGCTGTATTGACGCATTGTAATTATGAATTAGTTATGAAACTCTAATATCGTATGGTTAACGTTTTTCAGTTGCAGACCTTTCCAGTTCCACTTAGTAATTCCTGATTACTAAAATCTGCCTTTCTCCGTGTTTTAAGCTATTCCGATCATTTTGAGCCAATATAAAAATGTTAAATTTGTCTAATTAGCAAATTGATAATTATCCAATTAACTGATTCATGATTGTTTGCTACACGCTGTATACCTCTCGTGCACGCCGGCCGGCCGCAGCCGGACGCGCGCGATCAAAAGGGGTTACAGCGTGTGTCAACTGATTGTGAGACTGTCTGACGCGTAGAAATTGCCCTACAAAAGTTTTGCCTCCTGATCTATAGGATGAACACCCTCGATTAATCTGCAAGCTTTTACGATGTTCAAAACTAAAGATATTCGACAAACAAGAAAGGTGGTAAAAAGTGGTAAAAGTGGCAAAAAGTGGCCTTAATGCTTAATATTAGGACATGTGCAATGTGGAAAAGTTTGGAAAAGTTGGTCAGCCATAAAGGGCACCTAAATGTGGGTAAACGGGTGATACTCGTAAAATATTTGATCCAAATATTGGATCGTCGACGAATCCAACTCGGGGCGCGTCTTGGTAGGTTATTAAGTTTAACCTACAAAAATTTGTTTGCTGAATCATAATTACGTCTTTGTCGGGGACGTTACTCCGTGGAAAGCACTGGTCGGGCACAAAACTTATGATAATTTTGTTCTCGAAAAGGTTCAATTTTGTTCATTCTAGCTAACCTTGAGCCTGTATGCCATGGATCCTACACCAGTAGCTAACACGGTGGAGAACAGAGAAGGTGTCAGATGCAGAAACGGAGTCACAGTTGATACATGTTACGTATCCCAAATATCCTTCGGCGGCGCGCGCTTCGCGCGCGAAAAGTGGCATGCAACGTATGTCAAAGTCACAGAATGCATCAGACTCAGTGGAACAGATATCAGAGAAGCCAGCGGACATTCTGCCCGTATCCCCAACAAATGCCATGAAAGTCATACATCATAGGTCCTACAGGGTGCGATGTATAGGGCCCACAGCGCATAGACCTCGCTTCAGTTTTCCTTACTCTGTTCAGAGAGTGGCAGAGAAGTCATGACTATTCTTTATTCCTAGATGCAGGTTAACAAGAATACCCAATACAATAATACAATTGTTGGCTTTTAAATCGCCCCCCAAGGACCACTTTTTCAATATCTTCTTTGTTCATCCTTCAAAAGTACAATATTTTCTTTATTTTCATCATCATTCTGGCATCACCAGGTACACTGTTGGGAGCATGGAGAAGTGGTAAATTCATTCCTGACGATGATGACTTCGACTTTGGCATAGTCTCCAACCTCCCTTCAACTTCTAGTTCCACCAAAACTGAGACAGAACTAGAAGGACTCACTGCCTTAAAACAGTTGAAGACATTCTTAGACCAGAGACTAGACGCAAAGTACGCTACCCGCCTTGTGACATCGTATGCTACTAAACTAGAGGTGTTTGAGCCAGCACATGGTATGAATAGTTTAATATATCTAGACAAATTTTGCTAATTCAACACCCCGTGAAATAAAACCCTGTCAAGCGAATGCATAGAAATCGTTGCATCTTTACTGATAGTAATAGTAATAGTAATACTATTCGAATCAATACTACTTAATTTCAGGTAGATTCCTTCTCTCTCCTTTCTATACTATGAGGGTGCAGACTTCCACTACGTTACGTGTGACATCCAAGCATTTGTCCACAACAAAAATCAGGAGATTTACCCTCTTTACAAGTTAAATACATATATATACCCGTCTAAAAGTGGGTATTTTAACTTATTCAACATTTTTATTTTTTCATTCATATTAATTCTGTAAGCGCGGCTTATGCTATCTGGAGTTCTGGGGATATAACCAATCGTATTGGCTGATTACTCAGCAAATGTGATGGCTTATATCTCATATTATCTGCAGATGTCCTGCCTATGAGGGACTGTGAAGTGGTGCTGGAAGGCGTGATGTTTCCTTGTCCATGCGATATGGAAGCGTATCTAGAGGTTCAACTACTAATTACTATTATTGGGGGAGGGGGGGGGCCAATGGCATAAAATGGCATAAAATGGCATAAAATGGAGACTTTTTCTATGGAGAAAATGGAAAAACCCATGACACATGAGTAATTCTCCATTTTCTCCATTTTATGCCATGAATTTTGTCTTCGAAATTTCATCTTTAACACCATTTAACACCTAAATTGGATATGCTAACATGTTTATTTACGCTTACTAGGGGCGTAACAAGCTTATGAAAGCTCATAGTAGGCTACTAGATGCTTATACTAGGTTAGTAGAGGCACACTTCAGGCAAACTCATAATTACTCAAGCCTAGTGTAAAGTTATTTCTACAGGGTACAGCAGGAGTGAGTAATAGGGGAGAGTAATAGGCACTGAGAAGTGACACCTACATCCTCGACAGTCGAAACAAGCTTGCACTGCAAAGGGGAGGCCTGCCTTCCGAGATCGCATTACCAGGGGGAAGCCTCGAGTCCAAATTTGTGTATCGAGGGGTAGGTGCAGACTTCGATAAACCGAAAAACCAAAAAGATATTGTCGGCTTATAATGAAGAGGGTAGCATGAAACGTGGAGAAAAGTGGTTTTTAGAAAAACTTTGAAAAATTTTGACTTAAAAAATTTTCGGCCCGAGTCATTCTCGATACGTACCTCTCGTATCGAGAGCTCCCGATTCCGAGCTTGTGTTGCAAAGGGGAGGCCTGCCTTCCGAGATCGCATTACCAGGGGGAAGCCTCGAGTCCAAAATTGTGTACCGAGGGGTAATTTCTAAGTCAAAATTTTTCAAAGTTTTTCTGAAAAACACTTTTCTCCACGTTTCATGCTACCTTGTTCATTTTAAGCCGAAAATATTTTTTCGGTCAACATTTTTTCTGAAAACCGCTTTTCTCCACGTTTCATGCTACTCTGTTCATTATTTTCCGAAAATATTTTTTCGGTTTTTCGAAGTCCACACCTTCCCCTCGATACACAATTTTGGACTCGAGGTAATGCGATCTCGGAAGGCAGGCCTCCCCTTTGCAACACGAGCTCGGAATCGGGAGCTCTCGATACGGGAGGTACGCATCAAAAATGACTCGGACCGAACATTTTCTAAGTCAGCATTTTTCAAATTTTTTCTGAAAACCGCTTTTCTCCACGTTTCATGCTACCCTGTTCATTATTTGCCGAAAATATTTTTTCGGTTTTTCGAAGTCCAGATCACCTTCCCCTCGATACACAATTTTGGACTCGAGGTAATGCGATCTCGGAAGGCAGGCCTCCCCTTTGCAACACGAGCTGGGAATCGGGAGCTCTCGATACGGGAGGTACGTATCGTAAATGACTCGGACCGAACATTTTCTAAGTCAACATTTTTCAAAGTTTTTCTGAAAACCACTTTTCTCCATGTTTCATGATACTCTGTTCATTATTGGCCGAAAATATCTTTTTTTTAAATAATTTTTCCCGAAATTCTAAATTTTTCAGGTTTTCAATGGCATAAAATGGCATAAAATGGCATAAAATGGAGACTATTTCTATGGAGAAAATGGAAAAACCTATGAGTAATTCTCCATTTTCTCCATTTATGCCATTGGCCCCCCCCCCCCCCCCCCCATGTTTTTAAGTAGTATTATCAGATAGATTGAGTTTTGATGTGATATTTATTCCTATTTTTATTTGTAAATACAGTCACTGTCTGGGAGCTTATTAATAATTTGGCCATTCAGTTCACCATGGATGACATGAGACCTAATTGACCTACTGAATGTTAGATTCTGGTCGGACGGCGCACCACATATTAGGGAAAATCATATTCGGGGCACGTCCCAAAATGTTATATGTATTTGCCTCAAGTTGTAGGCCCGCCGCGCGGCTTTGTCGTGGCTTTCGCCCCGATACACTAAATGAAATGACGATGAGGGTCACGACGTGAGACAAACATGTATATACACGTGTACATACGCGTGTATACACGCTTACTGAATCGACGCTGACATTTAAATGTGATTGATAATACCTTGTGAAGATCTAAATGTGCACTAATGGTTAACCCAGCTTGCCGCCCCTAATTAGCCTATCGATTATTTTGGTACATAATTTATCAATTTATGAGAATGATTATCCTTCCTTGGATACTCAGGAGGTTTGTCAACGGAGAGGCTTTTAATGATTGCTGACGTCATCAAAAATCCTTCTTTCGGTCAAAATTCAAAACTGGAATCAAAGTTAAAAAACTCGATTAATTACCTGATCAAACTACACCTACGCTCCTAGTCAATTGCGTTTTAAGCTTAAATAATTTGTATACGGTGTTGCCAGAATCGCCAAAACTTTTTCATTATCAATTGTTTCAAAAAAGTAAGAATTTTAGATTTTATTTTGAAAGTGTTCGTTAACATAGTTAAAATGAAAATTTTGAAACAATGTTTAAAGAGTGATAAATAATTTAGATTTTAAATCACAATCAATAGTATTAGGGGGCACTGTAAAAAGTTCTATTAAAAGAAACAATCTAACTCGTATAAAACCTTGCACCAAACTTAAATTCTATTCTCCTTATTGTATCAATATATATGAATAAAGTTTGTAATACTGTTTGTAAAAAGCCTATAAAAATACAAATCTAGTTCGTTTTCCAGAGAAGAGAAGTATTTAGATGGTAGTTGGTTGCGATGGCAACGCTAGTTTTCATCCTCACTGTCGCTGGACAATTCCTCATCTTCGCTAGGCAGATAGATCTTAGGAGCCTGAATCAATTAATGTATTAATTTTATTGAAATCTAGTCAGTTCTGCAATTGTGTAACTGTAAAACACGTTTGTCATTTATCTCCAATCAAAGATCCATACGATAATAATATAGATAAATTCATCAGCTACCTAATTTAGAACTTTAAAGTAATATGGAGAAGTGCATTAATTAAAATAAAGCAGTTTCCAAATAACTGGAACTCTCACGACAGCTCACCCAGGGAAAAGGGGAAAGGACGGTGGGAGACTGTGCCTTCTTCGTCTCAATCATGTCTCTGTGTGTCTCAATATCTCTCTTAGCCGACAAAACCTCCTCCTCAGTAAGGGGTGGTTCGTGCTCATCACTCCATCCCATCTCTTTCAGCAGTCTGTGAAACGATATTCAAATTAGAATGCAGTAGAGTAAAACTGACAGCCAACGGTCAAGCATGCATTACATCACCAACAGTTTTTAAAAATATTTAGGTAGCGAAACGGTTCTTCAGCTCTTGGTTTGTAAATATAGCTGATGCGAAGAGATATAACCACACTAACCGGTGTTCAGTTTCCACGCTGGATGAAAGAGGGGTGGGATTTTGAGCAGCTTCTATACCGTTAATCTCACAATCTGTAGATAATTTTATAATTAGATCTGTGCCATCATGAAAACGTGTTACTGAGAACTCAAGATAAGGTATTTTATTTTAGCACCACCTTGCCGACACCAAAAGAAGTTAATGGTCATTACATCACTTATCATGCAATTTAGGTGCATGTTTGAAATGAAAAGCAAACGAACCATTCTCATAGGAGCTCTTCTCGGAATCAGAATCAATAAGGCCCTCGTCCAGTCGGAGGGACTTAAAGAAATCAAACTTGCTGTCTACACTTCTAGGAGCTTTAACTTTGGGAGAGTTAGGTTTTTCAGCGTCCCCACTCTGAAAGTGTTTCTAGTTAAGGGACAACCAGGTTGTATAATATTTCAAGTAAACAAATAAGAACACGGTCTTGCCGCCAAAACTGTGGAATATATTATGTAGTATGTACATATGCATATATATATGTAGTATGTACATTCAGTCATGAGATGACTCCATATACGAGAGTAGCCAACTTAAAAGAAAAATCCGATTAAGTGTGACCATGATAATATTATGAACTGTAACTCACTGCAGTTCTGGAAGATTTGGTGGTAGCTGGTGTCGTAGGTTGTTTGGCTCCACCTTGGGCCTTTACAGTGTTGTATAGTTTGGCTTTGCTCCTGGTCAAAGTATATCATGTAAACTCCTGTTATAAATTGATTACTAACAAATTATCCCAATTATATGAGGATAAGTTCTGTTATAAATTTATTACAGACACATGAACCCAGTTGAAAATCTTGTCGAAGCTGAAACTTGAAAGTTATGATTCATTATGTCAGATCGTTTTTAATCGCGAATTATCAAATCTGTTCAAAAATGACAAACCTAGGGTTAGACCAAGCACCGTTGTTGACGGCAACATTTTTCTTAGGCTTCGTCGACTGTAGAGACGGCTGAAAATTAAATCATTAGATATCAGATCAAATCTTAGACATAATATAACGTTTCAAGAAAGGGCTTAGTATTATTGATTAGGATAACAATTGTATAACCACGAAAAACATTGAACCAACATACAAATTCTGAAGTTCTGTTTTTGAAAGAGGTATTGATGTCAGTGATGATGGTTGCAGGAACTTCCTCAGAATAATTTCGAGTGATAGGCACGTGACCTGTGGATATATTCGTCAAAATTAACATTCACAACTCACTTAAGGTACTAACTCACTTAAGGTACTAACTCACTTAGGGTACTTATTTCAAATAAATGGATTCTATATTTCATCGACTGGCTAGCTAATAATTTTCCATTTACGCCCTTATCTCCATAGAGACCGCTTTCAATAGAGCATTTAGGATCAACATGTAATTGTGGACGAGAATATTTTCTAAAATAATAACCTTGAGTGTATTGAAACAAATTATGGAAACACACGACCTGGTGCTGTGATCGATCAAGTTACAGGCAACCTGCGCGCGCAGTGTTTTTACTCCGCGCGCGTCGAAATAATGGATGGTTCGTACTGAAGCTTTTTCCTAGTGATAGGACAAATTTAACCCTCTGCGCGGGTTTTCGTGGTACCTTGTTGTCTGTATTCCCTTCTTGTAGACTTTGTCACAAAATTTGGGGATACCAATTTCAATTACTCATGCGTACAAAGAAATTCTAACCAGCGAGCAGGTATTACGTCAGCAAGACAACTTCAGACGGGTATTTAAACTTCGGGTAAGAAATTTGGAAATATGCCAACTCTTAAAGCTTCTTTACATTTTTATCACGCCAAATTGCATCATTGCAGCTGAGTAGTGTGGAAGGAAACTGTTGCGTCGTGCGACCTTGTTGAAATCGTGTATTGTTAATAAATAATGAGTAGGACGGATTGTGGAAGGAGGCTTTACATTCAGGACTGTGCTGCAGTAATGCATGACTTTAATTTATCTTTATTCCAAGGAATATAACGTCTGTAAGGTGATATGAAAGACTCCTGGTAATCAAAACAGTAACCTTATATGCAAAGTAAATCTTAGTTCATCTTAATCAATCCATGGGCAACAAAGAGGACAAATGTTTAGTGTTTACCGACAGAAAATCATAGCAAAATGGTAATGTGTGTCTCAGTAGTGTAGTGTAAGAGAGATATGTGCGATGTAAGCAGCTGGTATCAAGATCATATTATCTTCAAGGAAGGTAGGGCCGGGGTGATGTCACTTTTTAAAATATTTTAAATGGCGAAAATAAATGTCAAGACTTGTTAACATTATATTTGTCGTTTATTTGCCATGCCATTTTCCAAACAAATGGCGATAACACCCCAACATTTCAAATATTTAATGCCATTCTGTCACACAGCATATTTGTGTTCTAAGAAATTAATCATTAGCCAAAATAGTTTCACCTGTACATATAAACAGGTTAAAGAAAGAGTTTACCAATCTTTCTTAAGAATATTATCCAACCAATTGTGAAAGAATTGCCAATATGTTGAGCAGATATCGTCTTAAGCAAGGATCCCCACAATTTACACATTCATTATGTTATATCATACATGAACGATGCTTAATGGAAGGACTGGACATATTGCTTACCGAAGCTGCAATGGATCTTACCATTAGTGTGATTTGTAACATTAAGCACCTTGACGTGACAGTGAGTGGTTTGCGGGGCCCCGCGGGGTGGGCAGCATTTTTGGGATATTTCCAATAATATGTATTATGTTAAACAAATTTCACGAGGAATGGTTCACATATTACTACATCTAATCAGCATCCTAGGCCAGGCAGGGTTGAGAGTGTTTTTAAATGGGCCGGATTGATATTAACGTTTAGGTCGTATTTCTAGACACAGAAATATTTGAGCAAATTCCTAAATCATTGATATTCAGAAATAACCCAGATCACGGCCTGATAGTCGTTATGGCATCAACAAACGGGAATATAACGATAATTTAATGATTTCTTTCAAGCTATCACGGACAACTTCAAGAATAACATACTCTAATAGTATGTGAGCTAACAGAGAGTGGCTAACATACTCATCACTACCGTATACAATATCTTAACAGAAGTAGGCTTCAATTATCAGTACATTTATTTGAACAACACCTTGAAAAATCCACACCACTACCATTCATTTATTGATATGTATAGTATAAGGTTACTTTTAATACACCGTTACTTTTGAGTACACAGTTACTTTTGAGTACTTTTGAGTACACAATTGATTTTGAGTACACAGTTACTTTTGAGTACACAATTGATTTTGAGTACACAATTACAGGTCATATTAACTGATAACATGTGGAAATCTAAACTTTCAAAGAACCTTAAGATCTGTTTATCCATTGTGGCTTGCGAATCGGCACTGCTCTACGGATCAGAAACCTGGACACTGACAAAAGCTCAAGAGAAAGGTTTGGACGGGACATACACAAAGATGTTGCCTATGGTGCTGGGTCTCATGGAAGGACAAGGTTAGCAATGTTACTTTTTATGGTAGCCTACCAACTTACCAAGTCTATCAAACAAGTTACGAAGCAGGAGATTAAAAATGGCGGGACTGGGGACACTGCATCAGACATCTTGAGACCTGAGCTACTGGCCAGTGATTTAGTCTTATGGGAGCCTTTGCATGGTAGAGCACAGCAAGGCTGACCGAGACGAAGCTATTTGTCTATGTTACTGAAGGAAGTTGGGACAAACTCTAAAGAGGAACTGCGAACCCTGATGCGGGACAGGGATATAAAGAGGGGGTTATCTGGCGTAGATCAGGCTTATTTCCGACCTAGTATTAGTAGTACAGATCCCGTCTGAGCTGCTCTCCCTAGAATATGGGGGCCACAAGCATTCCAACCAATGACTGAATCGCCACATTGGAGCTAACGTTTCGCACAACAGGGCCTAATAATAGCAATGTGCCCACATGTGTAAAGTTGCTATATATATAGTTCTTGGGAAGATACATAGTTATAGACAAATAGTTCTCAGCAAGTGTTCATAATATTAACAATAAGAGCAAGGCCAGTTTGGAAGGGATATTCGTTGCTCGGACCAAATCAGAACAACGTCGGCCTATAATGATGGTTTTCAGATTTATTTTGACATTTTGAATAGTTGGAACTGCAAGCGTTGCAGAAGATTCACTGTATCTTATCACTGATCTGTGATATAATCTGTCATCCGAATAATGTATTTATTTATTGTTTATAAACAATGAGTCAAGGTGGGGAATTGATTTCAGAAGATCGCAGTTGTTAAATAAAAGGAATGTTACGCCGACACGAGTTGGAACACGGTCTAGAACAATCGAGAAGAAAAATTAATAAAAACAGCTGTGCTAAAGTGTTTACAGTATCGAACAGCTTTGCGGAAATTTTAAATTCATAGCGATCATCTTATTGTCATCTGGTCACTATTTTTTTTGTAATAGCCCGGCAGTTTTAATTTGTAATCAAAACTGTTGCGTTAGTTTCAGGTATCTAGTTTATATTCGATACGATTATTTTAAAATTCAGATGGATCACTAATACTGGGGACTAGAACTCTGAAGAAGCTAAGATTTGTAAAGTTTCGGGTTTAATTTATCCAGATTCCAGGCCAATCTTTGATGTGATAGTTTTAAAGAAACTGTGGAACTTGTTTATTTTACTGATACATTTGGATAAAATACCCTTTACTTGTAGTTGTACTTTGAAATGATTTTCAGCGTTATCTCTTGAGTGGAAACCATTTTTGACGGCTACTTACATTCTCTATTACTTCTAAAATTTATACATCGGTACAAACCACCATATAATTAAAAATGGTATAGTAATTGGTAACCGCAGACTTATTTAACAGAACATCTTTGGAAACGATTCGGTTCCCCTGGGAACATACACCCAATATTCGTGAAAAGAATAAAATAGAACAGAGTGAAACCTTTCAAGATAAACCCTGTGGCCCCCTAAAATAATGATGATGACAGAAATTACATGAACCTTCAGTTATCCTTCCTAATTTACAAAACCTCGCGGGAAAAGTAACGTCCATTAATTTAATTGGTTTTAATAGGCAAATTACAATTGGTAACAAATATTATACATGATTGGTCGGGCTTGCAGACAACTTGGCCTCTGAGATTTAATTACCTAGATAATTAAAAAGCAGTTCAATCAGGGTCTAAAAAAGGTGGGCCTATCTGAAGTCCAGTATATAAATATGAAAATAATAAATAAATAATAAAACGTACCTCCATTAAGAGTAGCAAAGCCAGACTTGCTAGCTCTCTGCCCGTTGAGCTGCTGAAACGAACATCAACATTACCATATATGGTCATAGTGATATAAATAATTCAACATTACCATAGTGATATAAATAATTCAAACCCACACTTTCATAGGAATTCGTAGGTTTAAAACTTTTATAACCTAACCCTTATTGATTATTCCCTTAATCATGACCACAATTCAATCTGTGCTTGCACACTGTCTGCAAACATCAACCCAAACCATAAGTTCAATTTTGGGAGTAGATTACTTTTTTATAGGTTCACCAAGACGAGAGAGAAATAATTCCATCATTCTGGCAACATAACATAAGTAGAGCATTATTAAGAGCACAGATATTAGAGGGGAGGCAATGTTTATCTGACACGTGACAGCCTTCAGTTCAAGGACACAAGATATTGCCAAAAGCGGAAATTGTTGTTCAGTGTTGGAAATGATAAGTCTTAAGTTTTGTAAACATGCCCCTCATAAATTCAAACAGCTGCAAGTTGACTGTGAAAAAGGTGGTGTATGGATATTAGAGCCTGACCGATATCGCATTGGTAAAATCGTACAATGGCGTTATTCTATTACATTGCGATCATCAGTGAATTTGTAGCCAACAGGCAACAATATTAATTGCACTAATAATGCACTTAATTTAAAATTATCATAACTGGTAGAGTCTAATGACAGATAAGATAACAGCGTTATCTTGTATAAGAAAAAAGGTACTCGTTATAAAATCATTTAATTTTCATTGGATTAATAAGTCTATAAATACATGCTATGGTTGTATATTTTGGCTTGACTCCCTAAACATAGTATCTGCTCATGTGATTGGCCAAGAATAATATCAATATTAGTGATATAATTTGAACTGTATCAGATATCATCGATTACATTCTATACTAGGCTTATGATTCGATTACGATGAACTTTAATGAAGTGTATTAATTAAACAATTAAGGTAATCGCCAGATTTGTTACAAATCGACTAAGATATTTAATAAGATTATAAACTGTAAGCATATAATATAATTTACATAAACTAACCTTAGAGTTGTTGAATAACCAGAGTGGTGAGAAGTGATGTGGATTTTGAACAGACATTAAAAGTTGCGATTTACAAAATCTGAAAGAATTTAGTTTAATTTAGCGAAGAAATCAAGCAGAAAAATACATTTTCTTAAAAGTAGTGAAAAGCAAGCAAAACATATTTTACATGAAAGGAATGTTACTGTACAATTTTAAATTCATATTAACAACAAATATCCGAAACTCACCAAATTGAAAGAAGTGTTGTTTTTGTTAGCTTATTTTACATGATCGAGAGAAAAGGTTCACGTAGGATAGATGAATAATGAAGTCTGATGAGAGGGAGGGTTGTTGTGCGAAGTGAAGCTGCTAAATGGCGCTGCCGGTTGAAGCGAAAACCTGGAACTTAGGATGAAACACCTAATATCAGAGGTAAAAATTTTAGCTATTTTACTTTACATTTCAGTAACCATTCGAGTCAAGAATGAATATATTCTAATCATTTCATTTAATGTGCATTATAAGAACAACCAGCCTAGCTGGTGCACAAAATTTACTACGAAAATGTAATGCATGTTTTCAAACATAAAAAACGGGTTTATACTTAAACATTTCAACTGCGATATTGAAGTCCCGGCTGTAGGCACAGGTTACACTAGTATAATAATCAAATGTAAAATTACAAAATTAAAACATGGTTGTAAGTCTTCAATTAAGAATTCATAGTTTTAAAATCTCAATCCTTTGTCTCCACCTGAAGACAGTGACAGAAGCTTTTACATTACCTCCAAAGTTACAAAAGTTTTGTCTTTCTATAAACTTGTTAGCAAATCAGATGCTAGAAGGAAAACTTAACTTTCCTCACATGTAATATGCGTCCAATAAACAATTGCCCAATCAGTCAACTTGTTTCACCTTCAGTAACCATAATAGTAAAATTATTCAAACAATATACACATAATTGTCACAATGACCATATATAAAAACAACCCTTCAAAAGATCAATATATTCCCTATCTCAAATATTGGTAGAATAATTTAGTAACCATAATTGCTGAAATAGCCTGAAGATACACATTACACATGCATGGTTACCTGAATAATTCAAAAGTAAAAATTGCCGAACAAGTTTCCGAAGGAAATAAGGAAAATGTACTTAGGGCTGGTTTAGCGAAACAAGGATTTTAAGTCAAACAAGGATTTTATTTTAAATACCCACAACCAATAGAAAGTAAGTGTAAACGATTACATGTATTACATATTTCTAAGTTTTGATACTTTCAACACTACTATATAACAAATAATTTGAGGACCCCTAGTGGGAATTAACACCTCAATCAAATGTAGCAACCATTACAGGTTGTATGTCGATGTAGATGGTTGTTGCACAATAGTTTATTTAAAGACATCCTAAAGACTATCAGACATCGTTTTTAAGAGCTGTTAACTCCCATCTATCACCTATCACCCATCTATCACCTAAAGAATATCAGACACCACTCATTCCCATTTTCTGAATTGCTGCAAAGGTACTGTAATCAACAACTAAATAATTTTTAGACTCTAATTTTAGACTCTATCCTGAATTCTTTGCATTATTGTGTTTATTTGAACTATGTCCGGTATCCCAATCAGAAATTACAGCCTTCGTGACAGACCTAACAGTGCAAAAGGAAAATGTTCTACCTGTGTATCACTAAGTCTTGAAAACGACAATTTGAGGAGACAAATTGCTCGTCTAACCAAACTTACCCAAGGCTAAGGCCATGACAAAATTGCGGTTCCATTCTCTTGCGGGGACAATGTTCTTATCTCTGAACATGAATCAGAAACTCAAAACTGTGAAGTTAGCAGTGTGACTGAACGTACTTAATAGCAACCCATCTCTTGTGAATTCTTCTGATGTTAACAAACAATCTTCAACCAGTGTTAACGTTGTGGGTAAGTCCATCAATCCATATCATGATTTGAGTCGAGGTGTATTCAGGTTTGTTGATACTCTCAAGTTGGATATGGAAACACAATACACACAAACGTTTAACAATAGGGCTGTAGCATACTATGGGGATTTCCCATATGCCTACAATGGAGGCTTCCGTAGCTGCTTCCGTAGCTGCTGACTCCATTTCTGGAAATGCTACCCTCCATGAATCCCTTCAGGCTATTCAAAATAGCATTCTTAAGAGAGATAAGGTGCACAATGACACTCTCAAATCAATCAGTGGCCAGCTTAACACCCTGACTCTCTCCATTGATCAGTACATGAAACCATCAGATATGTCAACTCCAGATGTACCACGTAACACTGCATTTCCTTCTTTCCCAATAGGCCTTCCTAATATCAATATCGAAAAACCAGATCCTAAGATTGACTTACATACAGTGCAAAATCCTATAGACACCTCCATTGGTCACATTGAGTCATTAACACCAGATTTTGTTGACCAAGAACTTTCGGATAAACTCACTGAATACCTTGACACATTCAGTGAACAGTTTGATGCAAACTCAGAGAGAGGACATGGTGTCATAAGCTTTGGGGATGAATACAACTATCCAGGAGCCAAAGCTGCAAAACCTATATCCAAAAACATCCCTGAACCCCTAACTGAACTTGTTTCGCTCATCCAGGCCAAATTCCCTGAAAGTGTCATTAATCAGTGTTTAGTGAATCGCTACCTTGACGAGAAATCAAAGCTGCCGAAGCATTCGGACAACGAAGCCTCACTAATGTTTGATAGTAACATCTTCACTATATCACTAGGCAGTACCTGTGATGTTCTATTCAGTAAAATCGAAGGATCTGAAACCAAAACTGTATCGGCTACTGGAAAAAGTCTATATGTTATGAGTAAGCAATCTCAGTCTGTTTGGCAACATCAAATAGATCAATCTCCAACCACACGTGAGAAAAGATATAGTGTTACATTTCGTTATGTTACATCTAACAACGAAAATGCAACAATAATACTAGGAGACTCCAACACCAGATTCTTGAAATTCGGTAGTGGGAAAGGACGTTTTGGTCAAAGAATGCCAGGGAAAAGGGTAGAATGTTTTACTATTGATATGATTAACCCAAGTTTGTGTGAAGGTTACAGAAATATTTTTATTCATTGTGGAGTAAATGATATTAAGAAACGGAGCTCAAATATTGAGCAGTGTGCCAGTGATCTCAAGGTAAAACTTGATGATATATGTCGTAAATGTCCATACTCCAAGGTTACCGTTTCGCCAGTACTACCCACTAAGTTTGGCTGGTTGAACGAGAAAGCATTATATTTTAACAAACTTATATTTCAATATGTTGACATGAACCCAAGGGTGGGAACTCTAGATTTTAATGAATTTGTCGATAAAGATGGTAAACTAGCTGACCAGTTCGGTCGTTTCAAGGATAAAAGTGATGCCATCCATCTTGGGTCTACTGGTATCTTTAAGTTGTCTAGGCTAATAGTGGATAAAATACAGCGCAATCCAATAGATGGGCGCCAATTTAGTGATATTGCTAGGAGTAAAGTTGGGATGTTCAATTCACGTGTTCAAAGAGCTCCGAAACCATGAATAGAACAAATATATGTGAGAACTGTATCTGCTGCAGCAAACCTATTCGTGCTGGACACCCATTTATAAATTGCAATAAGTGTGATTGCATCATTCACAAGAGATGTAAAACACAGGAAAACATTGCCACTTTTAGAGAAAAAACTTACTGCTCAAATTGTATTCAAAATCATGATATAATTCGTTATAATCCATTCTATCAAGCACCTCACTTTTCAAACAACGAACTACTTGACAATGAACCTCACGACTATATAGACTCAATAGGTACAATCTCAAAAACTCTTGAGAACTGTCAATCATATTCTACTAAAAACTTCAACAACCTCATAAAGCAGATTCCTCAAACAACATCAAAGCGCATTTTCTCACACTACTTTCGAAATATTGATGGAAATGGTACTAACTTTGACAAATTGGCCTTAGAATTAGCCTGCATAGACCACAAATTTTCTGTGATAGGTTTAGCAGAAACAAACATTGATCCCTGTAATAGTCAGCTGTACCAAATTAAAGACTATACTTCATGTTACCAAAAACGCTTCGTTTCTAATAAGACACAACAGGTAAAAAGTAAAGGAAGTGGAGTTTCTCTCTACATTCACAACTCCTTTAACTTTAGTGTGATTGAAAAGTTATCTGTTTGTACAGAGCAATTTGAGTCCCTATTCGTAACAATAAGTAATGCTCCAGAACCAGTAACAGTTGGAGTTGTATACCGCTCACCAAGCAATCCACTTGCTAACTTCAATGCACAGTATAAAGAAGTTCTTACTGCACTGAAAGGACATAAAGCATACATATTAGGGGACTTCAATGTTAACATAACCAATTTATCAGGCCCAGATGAAGATATATTCGAAGAAGTTATTTATAGTCACGGGTTCACGCCCACAATATCCATTCCCACACACCAAATGCCCCACTGCTCAAAAACGTGCATTGATAACATACACACTAATGACATTCACTCATCAACTATATCTGGAGTAATTCAGGATAGTGCTTCACATCACCAGCCCATTTTCTGCCTTCAAGTAATGAATTCTGATACTAGTTCGGAACAGAATAAATCACCTGAAAAAACAACCATTTATTATAACTATAGTAATGCAAACCTTGATAAGCTCTGTGAAGAAATTGAAAACGACATAGATACATTCTACCACAGATGTGACTCTTTTGAATCCTTCATGGATCTGTTTCAAGAAAAGATAGATATACAGGGTGAGTTGAAAATAGTGTGTGGAAAGTAAATGGCTCTAATTTTTTTGACAAATGAAATTTCCACTTAATTTTTGCATATTTAGGTAATGAAAATATATACTTTTTATGATAATACAATTAAAATACTTAATAATTAATAATTTGCTCAACCCATCGTCCTTTATTAGCTAGGACATATTGATAACGTGTAAGACAATTGTCTATAGCCGACTTGACTGTATTATGGGGGCAGGGGGGTCTTCATGGAAATTTTCTCCAAATCGACTTTTTAGTTAGTTGTTTCTGATAGAAGGGAGTAATACCTATCAGATGCTTTTGATGCCGTGGAAAAATATCGTTCCTAGCCGAAATTATTGCCGGTCAAAGGTCAGCGCATGTGTGGTAATTGTATTGCGCGAGCGATTTTTGATCGCGTGCCCTGAAAATCGAGTCTAAAAATCTATTTTCTCCTACATTTTTTGAGTAATCACCCTGAAACTTTCAGTATATGTTCTAAGGATCATTTAGAAGAGATGAGCCAGACAGAATTTTTAGATAGGCCTTCAAAAAATTTTATTCGATTTTGAAAATCTTGGACCTTGTTTTTTGATGATTTTTTGAGATCAACGACTTTCAAAATCGAATAAAAATTTTCAAAATGCATATCTCAAAATTTTGTCTGGCTCATCTCTTTTAAATGATCCCTAGAACATACCCTGAAAGTTTCAGGGTGATTGCTTTAAAAATGTAGGAGAATATAGATTTTTAGACTCGATTTCCAGGGCACACGATTTGAGAACCCCATTAGGACGAATTTAAGATTTTTTGGAAAACTGCCAAAAATCAACCAAATTATGAATTAGAATCAAATGAGAGGCAAGAATGAAATATGTTAAGTTTATGAACTGATAGCAATTCACCTTTCAAAATTTGCTCCTTCATAAAAAAATTATCGATTTTTACTTTCCACACACTATTTTCAACTCACCCTGTATCTTGCAAATTGGCTTCACCAAAAACCACCAAACGAAATAATATAACAAATCCATGGATCACAAACGGCCTTATCAACTCTGTGGAGAAAAAAGCCAGACTTTATTTTGAATGGAAAAAAACAAAAACATTGTTAATTCCAGATGGGGATCTGGAAAAACATAATGTTTACAAGGACTACTCAAAATATCTTAAAATTGCCACAAAAACTGCCAAAACCAGGTATTATGCTGAAAAGTTTGAGAAAAATAGCCATAACTCCAAAAAAAACCTGGCAAATAATTAACGAGCTTCGTGGCAAAAAGAAGAATCAGCTAAAAGATGACTTCATTATAGATGGAACTAGAGTAATTTGTAGGCGGACAATTGCAAACAAATTCAATAGTTACTTTACATCTTTAGCTAGTAATTTAAATGAGAAGGTTTTGTCCGAGAACCAACTGTCTATCCAACCAATGCAATCATTTGTTGAGTTTATGTCGAAATCAGTCAACAGTTCAATACATCTAGAAGAAACTCATCCTGAGGAGATTCTTGAAATAATTCAA